AGTTTATTTTGACTTATCACTTCGTTCGTGATTACGTATTAATGTAATTAAAATTTTTTTGAACGATCATTAAATAATGCTACCGACTAGTGTCATTATGGAACCTTAGTTTCGACATTAACCTGGATTTGTTATCCGTTGATCAAAGTCAACAGTCGATTTGTATATGTGCTTTGCTTATTACATATAAATAAACTTATTGTGTACATATATCGATTTGCATTAAACATCGACAATCAGACTTTTTGTTTAGGTTTTCTCTTGGAATGCTCAGTTTCTGAGAACATCTGCTCTTCTCGAGAAATCCTCCTTCCGGGGAAAGTGCTCTCTCCTCTGTTTCCTTCTTATGAAGCGCCTCTTCTTCCTGCAATTTCATCCTCATGAATGCCTCTTTCCTCTTGTAAAGGACTGAGGTGAGCGCAGATAGAGTACGTAGTATATATTGGCTCTGATGCACCACAATTAAGCAGACGAGCGATGTTACATTCACTTGGTATATATCCATCTGTTTCAAACCGGTTCCATCCAAATCGTTGTGTGCATTAACTGATGTTGGTTAATGTGCACGTTATTTTTGTCTCATTATGAAAGTGGATTGAGCGATCGTTTGACGTGCTCCGTTAAATAGTTGATAAATTTAACCAAATAAACCTACTGCTTGTGAACGATAAAAATTTCAGTGTGTTACAATCGATTCGAATAAACCAACTGAATGCGAACTCATCCACCGCAAAAGACATCCAAGAAAAAGTCCTCCTCCTTACCGTCTACTGCAAAACCGTCGGATGCGACCGTTGAGAATCGATCGTCTAAACGAACAACTCGCCGCACCTCACATACCACCAATACTTCAGCAGCGATTCAGCAACCGTCCAGTGTCTTCTCAAGTCCAACCACTTCATCAGAAGGTCTTGTCAGAGGTATGATATCAAATGATGAAGGAGGACCAGCGAAACACACTCGTTCTTCTGAACGTGCAACATCAGAATCATACGTTAACAATGCTTCAACTAATCTGGCATCTACAACCGAGTCAGCAATACCAAAATTAAGACGATCACCTCGTGTTCAAGACTCTCATTCTGATATGTCAAGCACAGAGGTGTGGCGGTCTCCTCGAAGACGACAATCGCAGCAACAGTCTTCATTCAGCACTCAGCAAATCAAACAAGAATCCATCGATGTCGGTGTTGATGTTGACATTCCTTATGCTACTAATCCCCTTCAGTCAACATCCAATCAAATAATTATCAGTCGCACACCATCTGTCTTATTAACGAGGCGTTCACCTCCGTTGATCGCGTTATCTTCAGAGGATATTCATCGTCGTGAAGGATCTACTGAAACGATGGCTATGTGTGAAGAAAGTAGTGATCCATCGTTGCTAGACAGTGATACGTTGAATGAATTGAACTCGAATTTAATTACCAATGTTAGTAATGATCCAGCACCCAGCATTCATAATGCTTTCTCAAGCATTCATAAATATGCAAAAACCATCAGCAATCTAAAAACGACTAAAAATTTATCATCTGATGCCCCTGGGACATCACAACTCATCACTCCTGGAAATGTTTCCATTCGGAATGCAGGTTTATTTGATTTGATCTTATTATTTATTCGAAATTTTCTTCCGTAATCACTCTGAATGGTTAAAATCATGATGAAGGTATCAAGACATCGATTATAAGAGGATGGTAAATTAAGGTAAACCAGGATCAAGCAAGTCCAGGTTAGATCATATATCTTCGTCACGACTGGCCACAAACGATGAACCACAGTTAATAGCAGTACCCCGGAAGAGAAAAAAATTCGAGCACAAGAGTTCGACCGCAGATGTTTCTTCGTTATTACATGTAACTTTTTATGTCTGATGAGAATGCGTTGAATGTTTCACATTCTTTTTGTTTTAACAAATAATTCATTTGATTAACTCGTTTTTTTTTCACCCAAATGATTTAAGAAATAATTCATTTCTCAAGCTCTCGTTTCTCAGGTTTTCGTTTAATTTTACCCAAATTTTTTATTTTCATATAAAAAAGTTGAGGTGCATTAATCATTTTGAACTTTTTACTCCAGCGAAATGACTCCATATCAAAATCATTTGCGCCGAAAAAGAAAGGCTCTCGACGAGGTGCAGCAGGATGCTTTGCGACAAGAAGTCGAGATCCTATCGCTGAATCGGTATATTCGTTGAATTAGTAGAAGAGATGATAGTCAAGATAAAAATCATGTTACTTTTATGAGGCCATAAGTTTATTAAAAAATAAATTAGTATTATTGAGAAATTCATAAACAGTTTACGTACGTATGGAAGAATTTTACAGAAAATCCTTTTCTTTCAACTGTTTAGATGTAGTTTGCATATGCAAAAGATTGAATCCTTGCAAACGTCAACAGTGTTGCAATCGTTCAGATTCCTCCTTTGAAAAACAGAACACCTGATGAGTGCATGGAAGTTGCAACGAGAGATGAAGAAACGGCCGAGATTAGTGCTGATATGATATATAATTTCGCGCAGTCTATGTCGTAAGTTTGTCAATTCGTTGAATAACTGTAAACGAATCACTAGTCATAATTTTGAATCACTACTTTTGTAAACTGTCGAAAATAGCCATAATGAATGTGCTTTTCTAATGTAACAATTGGAAAAGCACATTCAAAAAAAATTAGAAAAGCACAATTCTTTCAACTCACCACTTTGAGAGAACACTGTGGCACATAAGACATTCCGCAACGGTTCAGTTCGTCTTACTTAACGTATTTTCTGGTTTCGTGTCAGATGCATTTATTGGTGCGATCATTCGCTTTGGCCCTGGCTAATTATTGGTGCTAAATACTGCCGCCGTATAGGCTTGAGTGGTCGAGTGAAAAGAGGGTGTTGTGAGTGATTTGTTGAAGTGTATTAATTGCAGTGTGCCAATACATCGGAGTGATTTTTCGGATGAGAATACGATCGACTTATTGAAAGATCGTTTGTTGATGGTATTGAGAGAGGTGATTGATGCATCCAAGTTATTTGCTTTGGAAGCGAGAAGGGAACAAGTAACTGCGCATGATTTGAATGCCTTCATGCGATACGCACATTTGCCGGTTCGTTGATCGATCTTGATTGTGAGGCATCCTTTTCGTGGTTCATCTGACAGCTACTGATCACAAAGTGTATTCTAAATTATTTATTCGTTCATACAGATATTGGCGGCAACGTTTTATGCATTGAAGATAATCAGTTGTGGACGATTTTGATGTGGTAGTTTTATTTAGATGGAACATTTTAATTTTGAAACCAGCTTGATCAACATCTTTGACAAATTTTAGCCACTTTACGGATTCATGGAAGATGAGAATTGGTTGAAAATTGGTGATGTATTCGTACCGAATGAAAAAGCGATTCAGCTATCCTCATTCATGCCGTCAGTAAGAGTATCAGCAGAGCGTTTAATCGATTTCAAATGTTCGTCCATCAAGTAACCTTCATGTGTTGTGGACGTATTCGAAAGAAATGAAGCACAATTATGAAGCGATCCGCGATCGATTCATAATTCTCTTTCTTAATCGATTTTGAGAAAATGATTCCATGAAATTCATTAGCATTCTGATGGTAATAATAAATATTATAGGTACAATGGCATACGCGAATCGTTGAGAGTACTGAATAAAGGCATGCTTATGGTGCATTTACCTATGAATCGGAAAACTTATCAGCCAAAGTAGAACGCACGGCTGTTTTGTAGATATTCATAAATATCATTGTGTAGCGTCCTCAAAACTCTTCACTCAAATTTCAAACTTTGAATTGTTTTGAATGTGTAAATTTTTTCATTGATTGCAGTGATATGTTTGCAAGTCTTTTTTCATGTTAGCGTTGAATTGTTACTTTAATTAATTAATTTATTNACTCTTCACTCAAATTTTAAACTTTGAATTGTTTTGAATATATAAATTTTTTCATTGATTGCAATGATATGTTTGCAAGTCTTTTTTCATGTTAGCGTTGAATTGTTACTTTAATTAATTAATTTATTCATTAATGTGAAGTCACGTGTGGTTGAATGGTTCACTTGGCATTCACCGTGTATAGTTCTGTTGTATGGATTACTTTGCATTTCCATTAAAAACTGTTCCATTAATCAATTTATGTCGCTATCAAATTAAATAACAGCCAGTTCTAGGCGTTGAGGTGGTTTTTTAAGCGATGACCCAATTAATTTTGCACTTGAGCTTATGCATGCCTCCAGGTTATCAGTAAGTCTACCATGAACTCTGTCATTGTTTCGGGTCCACTAAACAGGAAAAACGTCAGTAATGTTGAATGGCAGTCTTGTAGGCGTTTTCGGTTTATTTTCATGTTAAACGTTCAAGGATAGGCGCATTTTGAAAATTAGTCAGTGTGAACGAAAAGTTATCCTTATTGTTTTATTTTTTTAATGGCTGAGTAGTGTTGATTCGAAGATTTGCGGGAATTTGTAGTAGTGATAAATAAGTAAAGAAGGGTATCAGAGGGAATAAATAGTACTGGTGATAGGGAGGCATAAACTCGCAATGAGTTGTAGCTGCTAACAAAATAAATAAATAGATGATGATAATATTACTGGCAGTGGTGGCAGGGTGGTTTGGGAGATAGAAATATCGCTAACAATGATCAAGTGAATGAAATGAAATAAAGCAAAGGAAAAAGAAAGAACAAGAACGAAGAACAACTTCATGCAAAACCAATGCATGAAACTGATGAAGCCATAACGACGAGTACACCAGGGTGCTATCAGAATATTAGTTAGCGACATGGGGCAAATTTTTAATAATGCATCANGACAGACAACGTGAGGAAATCATCTTGCAGATCGTCGTACGTAGACGGCAACCATAAAATCGGTATTGATTAAGAAAAGTGAAGTAGTTGAATCAACTTGGGGTTTCAAGTGGTGTTATACATTTAATACTTTCATTGAATTACACCAATCACTTATTAACAATCACTCTCAATGCCTAGCGATGTATACACCATTGAAGAATTAGGAAATAACAGAAAATGCCGTAACTAGTGCGGACACGGCAAGTATGAAAATGTGATCCATTATATCAGGATGCGATGGTTTGCTGGACAGAATTAGTTGATTACCGACAAAGTTGCTGACACCCCTATCGCATATGATCAATGCGACAAAACTACTGCAGGAATTAAAAACTATTGAGGTTCGTGAAAAAGAAATGAAAGTTCTGATATCGAGTCTGTATGCTAACATCGATAATGACTGCTTTACAAAACTTGCTAGCACTTCTGAAACAATTCAATTGATGTGGTTTACACATCCACGACGTTCAGTTACTCGTGGAAATGAGCTTCAAGTGCAGCGTATCCAAATTCAACCAGAAATACTTTGAGCAAAAACGAGGTTTAGCGATGGGCAGCCGGTTGGCCTCGTTACTGATAATTACATGCATGTATTCTTCTGAACAGCGCTGTACCAAGTGGGATTTGCTATTCTATCGGAGATATATTGAGGATATCGTCATAATGACCACCTCACAATCAACCATTGATGGGATGTTTGATATCATCGATATAATAGACGGATGTCTGCAATTAGCGAAAAAAAAAATCGGACGATGGAGACCAGCTCCTCCCATTCCATAAATCTGATCTTAAGGTCAACAAGTTTTGTTGACCTTAAGTTGAACAACGATGAATTGAAAGAGCTGGTGAAGTCGGTCCCACTCAGCCTGAGAAAGAGATGGCAGACAAACTTGGTGTAAGTGGAACCACAATTTCAACGCACTTACGACAGATTGTTAAAGTGAAGAAGTTGGACTGATGGGTCCCGCATGAGTTAAATGAAGCGGAGCAATTCTGACTTTGTAAATTTGTTCTTCATTACTGCTGAAAAACGGCAATGATCCATTTGTTAATCAAATAGTTAACATGGATGAAAAACGGGTTGATTGTGATAATCGACGGAGGTAGCCCAATGACTAGACGTCGCAGGACCGGCAAAAATGATGCCCAAACGAAAACTGCACCCACAAAAAGTCAAGTTCTAGTCTGCCACCGGTGTGATCCGTTTCGAATTCCTCAGAAATGAGCGAACCATTAACGCTGAATACTACTCTCATATGGTTGAATTTGAAGGAACCATCTGTTGAAAATATGGCCAGCATTGGTGAGCAAACTTGGTCCGATCCTCGTACAGGGTAATGCCAGACCACGTGTTGCACGGACAACGTTACGAAAAATTCACCAATTGGGCTTTGAGATTATACCTCAATCGCCTTACTCTCGGGACCCTTTCCCAACAAACTATCATCTATTCAAAAACCTAAAACTTTTCTTGCGTGGAAAAAAAATTTCCCTGATCAAACCCTAATAAAAGATGACGTCCGCCGATTTTTTGATTCCAGGGATCCCTGTTTCTAAACTGCAACAATGAGCGCACTGATTTCACGTTGGCAGTGTTGTGTTGAACCGAATGGTTCTTACTAGNACGGGGAGATCCCCGCAAAAAAGCCGGGGAGCAAATTGCGCGGGGGACCCCGTCGGGGAATGACCGCTCCCCGTGTTCCCCAACGAGGATGGCGGGCAGCTCAATTTTTTAAACAGAATTTCAATATTTTAAAGGTTTTTATTCTTTTTTGAAGTAGTTTTTTTTTTCAAGTACACCTCATACTCACATTTTAAAACAAACAACAA